AGGGAGGGAGGGAGGGAGGGAGGGAAGGGAGGGAGGGAGGGAGGGAGGGAGGGAGGGAGGGAGGGAAGGAAGGAAGGAAGGAAGGAAGGAAGGAAGGAAGGAAGGAAGGAAGGAAAAAAGAAAGTTCTAAATTCCACTGGTGGCCAGACATATTTCAAGAAATACTCAGTTAATAAAATTCCTAAGCCAGGTCATTAAACAGAACTATAGGAAAGGTCCTGTGAAGAAAAGTGGCCTGGCCTGACATTTAGGGCCTCTACAGTTGTCCTTGGGTGACTCACCCACCCACACCCAAGCAGCACACCTCAACTCTGTATGTGCTTCTGCCAACCTGTGGCATGATCAGTTAGCGGAACCTGTCAGCTGGTATCCTCAGGCTGACGGCAGGCCATGAGCCTCCAACTCCAGAGACTCCCAAGCAACATCTGCCATGATGCAATAACCCAGCCATTCTCAACCTGTGGGTCATGACTCCCTTGGCAAGCGTCTAGTTCCACAAGAATTTACATTACAATTCCTAACAGTAGCAAAATCATAGTAATGAGGTAGCAACAAAAATAATTTTATGGTTGGGGGTCACCACAACATGAGGAACTGTATTAGGAAGGTTAAGAAACACTGCAATAGTCACACCTCACATTCCTATAGGCCTGTCCTAGCCACCTACTTGAGCAGCTTTAGAATTCAATCCATCTCCTCTTCTCTTTCATTAATGTCTCTCTGGTACCCTCAGCAGTGCCAGTCCCCCATCATTACTAGGCCCACTGTGACAGCACCTACCTTCCCCTCTGGAATACAGTTATTTTCTGAGTAGGACTGGGCTTCCTTCAGCCAAGTTGAAAGATCTCAGAGGAATGCCTCTTCTCCAGAGCTTGCCCCCATCCCATGCACAATGCTCCAAGCAGCAGTTACTAGGTGAACAGGAACTGAGCTGGCATCTCTTCAGGAGTCCCTTGGCCTCACACAGTCTATCTCTTCCTAATTTACATTTAACCTAGAGCCTTTCTAAAGAGCCCACATGCCATGGGGAAGGGGAGCAACTCCCTCAGAGAGTGAAGTGCTCATGAGTGTTTGTTCTGGAAGCATGAAGACCTGAGATTAAATCTGCAGTATGCCCCTAAAAAGCTGGGTGTGACAGTGTGTGCCTATAATCCCTACACTGGGAAGGATGAGATAGGTAGAACCTCACACTCCCTGGCTAGTCAGTCTAACCAAGACAACAAGCTGGGTTCAATGAGACATCAGAGGAAGATACCAATGTCGACATCTTACCTGTACACACACTGCAAATATACACACACACACCCTGCAAAACCCCATATCCCTGGTGTTTGTGCTGAGCCCCACTGTCTGAAGCATGACACATACCCAGGTTTAGAAACTGGAAGACCTTGTGCATGGTATACTTGACATTGGATGCATGGTCTTCCAGACGTAGAATGAGGAACTGCTCCTTACTGAAGACAGTGAACCAGTCCAGAAGGTACACAGCATACAGTCCAACCTGGAGCCTCACCTAGGAAGGAGAAAGAGAGTGTTACTGCAGGAAAACCTTCCCCAGCCCTGGGAGGTGCATTCTCAAAGCATGATGGACATTTCTCTAACTAACATAATCACCTTAGCAAACAATTACCTTCCAAAGTCAAATCTTATACAAGGTTATCTGTGCCACGTGTGCAAAGAATTCCTACCCTTGGGGTTGCATTAGTCTTCCCAACAGGTGGCTCCTACCTCTCCTCATAAGTGGGAAGCACAGGAAGGATCTCAAGGGCATACAAGTTCTTCACATAACGTGGGTGGCTGTCTCCCCACTGTCGATCACAACAGACTGTGAGAAGTCAAACCAGACACCTAAAGGCAACCTAGACACTGTAATACATAAGGACAACCATGTCCATGGAAGTATGTGATGTCTCCTGAATGTAACCATGGGGTGGAGGGGTAAAACCAACACACGGGAAAGCTTTCCTCCTTCCCTCCGACCCATGTCTCAAATCCTTACCCAGTTCCTTCTCTCATGCCAAACTGCAAGCTAGGAGTAAAGAACTGACCTTCTCAAAGATGCTCTGGTTTCTGTCCTCTGCCCTGGGAGGTGACTGCCAAAGCCCCTCCTGGTTTGCATTGCTCAACAGGAGCAATTTGATTTCCCTAGAACGTCAAGTTAACACAGTGACTTCTGATGAAGCTCTATATGTGATGGATCCCCAGTAGGAGCTCTGGACACCGCAGCTTGGAGTGACAAGCTTCCTATTTGTGGTCATGTGACCATGCACCTAGCATGGCTAGGAGGTGCTGACAACACCCTGTGACTCTGGAGGGAGAAGTGGACTAGAGGCTCCGCCCATTCACTTCTGTTGCTGATGTGACCCTGAATCCTTGCCACGCTGTGAATTGTGGCCATGGTCACAGCAACCTTTAGTGAGTCCTGTGAACCCTGCTCTAATACCAAACTTGCAGATGGCTGGTGACTTTGCCCCAGAACTTACAGCTGGTGTCAGAAGGGAGAGCAACTCACTTCAGCCACCTCCCTAGTCATACCCCCTCTCTTTGTCCACTCCCAACAGCACCTGCTAAACATCCCCAGGCTCCTGGGTGGCTCTCCCATCAATCACTTCTACCCTCTGTCCTCCTGTCATGTGCTTTGTAAAGCTGTGAGCAGGCCTCCGGCTGGCCCTGGCTCAGGGCCTGGGACCTCTCCGTTGGAAGCTGCTTTCAGCTTCCAGTTCATTCTTTCTCCATAGCTCCTCCCAGTTCTAAGCTCCTCCTCCGGGCCTTCCTGTTTTTTGAGGCAAACACTCTTCATCATTCTCCCTAACAAAACTTGATTATGAGATTCTTGGGGGCAGGGCCATCAAGTCACGATGGGCAAAGCCTTGTGTCAGCATGCACCGTGGCTCTTGGTGGAACTGCTGAACTCAGTGTTAACAACACACTAAGGAAACATCTGACCAAGTGCACGAAGGTGCTTACTGGTTTCATCTCTCACTGTTCTTTTTCCATTCCACCATTTTTTTCTAACTATGCAGGAAGATGCAAAGGAAGGAAAACAATAGAGCAAACAGCTGAGTTGCCTCTGAAATCCTTTAGCTGACATCTCTAAACCTCACTTTGGTGCTCATCAAGACATCAAGCTAGACTGAAAACGATGATCGTAACACATATACATGTGGCCTCCAACATGGAGTAGATATGCGAACACCATGCTGGATCAGGAATTCAGCTTTTTGCCATCTCTTCCCAGCCAGCCTCATCTCTTCCAGAGAAATGACTTTTTATAACTTGACAACTTTCCAGTAGGAAAGGAAGTAACTGTCAGGGACAGGACACTGGTGTTTTAGAGTAGTTGTATCCTGTCCCTGTATCTACCTCGGTGACAGAACATCCTCCAAAACCATCTTGGTGAAAGTCCAGCACTGCCCTCCAAGACCTGTAGAGTCCTGACTGTACGGGGCCTTCCTCACAAGCAGATTTGGTCTAAGGAGGGAGGACATGGGATTCCTAGATATGCACTAGCTCCAAGGAGTGAGCGTCCTTCCAATCCACTGGTTCTAGAACCCCTTTCCTCAGCCAGGGAGCGCCCTGGGCCCCTCAGGAACACCATTTATGTATGCAAGACCACCAGTATGACTGGGAATCATGAAGACACCCTAAGACAGGAGCAGACAAAGTCTCATTTCCCCATTCTGTCCACGGGAAAGAACCAAAATAGAACAAGAATCAAAACAGAACCGATGTAAACAAGCTATTTAGGACAAGGGCCCAATCCATGTAAAATCAGAAACCACTAAGGCCAAGGGCAGCCTTTGAGCTTCTGGATGCTTGGTGACTCACTGACAAAGAACCAAGACCAGGAAGGTAGGGCTGTCTGCCTGGACTCAGCAGCTAACTCCTGACAAAGCCAAGTCAGAAGGTCAGTCCCTCATGGATGTGACACTTGTTCCACCACAGAGAAGCTCTGGCACAGAGTGAGCACCCAACAGGTTTCATGAGGTGCCTCAGAGGGCCAGGGAGCACCTGATAGGGAGCCCAGGGAACACAGGATCCTAAGAAGTCCCTTGAGGAGTCTAAAGACCACTGGGGACATCTCATAGGAATCCCAGAAGGCACTTAGGAGAGTTCAGAAAGTACTTGAGGGGATCCAGTTTTAAGGTAAACCTGGTCACAGGGCCAACTCTGCCCCAGACAGGTACCACCCCAATCCTCCTTGTTCCCCCAATTTCAATCGGCACTCCCCACCCACCCTCCCTTCTGTCCCCTAACTCCCCACTCAGACATTCATTTCTTCATCAGTTTAGCAAATGCTGAGTTCACACAGTGTATCGGGCACCACACTAGGCAATGGAGATGTGAGGCCACTTAACAGGCATGGATGGCCCTGACTGCTCAGAGATGCCGCTAAACTGATAAAGGAATAGACACCTGTCACCATCGACCATGACACCTGTTATGGGGTAAGGGCGGGGAAGGGGGAGGGGGAGAAAGTGAGTCAGAATAAAGAAAGATCTGAAGAACAAGAAGCTCTTGGACTGGCAGGGGAAGCATGTCATGGGAGAAGCATGGGGAAGGCTCTCGAGCCCGTGGTTCCCGTACCGGAAGACATGCACATGCGCAGAAGGCCTGTTAAGCAGCCAGGTCTTGCACCCTCCTCCAAGGCTTAGATGAGTGACTACAGCTGAACCCTCCATATATGATATCTAGGAGGAACCTTGCATTTCTGATCAGCTCTCAGAGACCTCTATGAGCCCTGCTCAAAGGCCACGGTCACCTGAGGACCTAACTGGGGGAAGTGTGGCCATGACGCAGTGATGGGGCAGGAGAGATTGTAGGGAAGGGAGGAGGCCCGCAGGCAGGAAGGTGCCATAGGAAGGCCTCAGTATAGACTACACAGGGGTAGCTGTAACAGGCACACCTGCAGTGCCAGGACTCGGGAGGCTAACACATCCCCCATGCTGTGGATGGGACCTTTCTTCCCATCCCAGAGGGGGAAAGACCATCTCCCAAAACAGTGTGCTCACCATCCCTAACTGCCCACCCCCCTCTTCCTGTGAAGAGTCTCTCCTGACCTTCAGCTACCCTGTCCACTGCCATGCCCCTGGAGCTCTCCCTTAGACAAGAGGTGCTTAGCTGTGGTGTTGTCATGCTAGGCCTGTCAAGAGATTTAGGGTGCATGCCTCCTGCTATCTCAGAGCCATTTTTAACAGCAAGGAAAGGAAGACAGATTTCAAAGACTCTCAGAACTGTTGTTAGCTGCAGGCGGAGTACACCTTCAGTGAGCCTCAGTGGCCCCATCTGTAAAAATGGGAACAGCTTCAGAGGTCAGTTTGGAACTAAAGTTTACGATAGTACCCAGTGAGCAACAAACTGAAGTGAGACACTTCCTATCTCTCACCAGTGGACTTGACAAACATTAAATAAGGATGTATCTAGCACACCCAGAGGTGGAAAGACTCACACAGCAACCCATGAACATCCTGCCCAGTCACAATGGTGTTCCCATGTTCAGTTGGCCTGAAGACAGCAAGGAGAGGAAACACACCAGGCACGCCCCCTCTTCTCTGTGGGAGGATGTAGCTGAGGATATCCGGTCTCTAGGAAGCCTATTTAGAGGCAGCCAGACTGTATCTAGCTTAGCTTTGCATTTCTTAGGGCATACCTCAGGGTGGGATGAAAATATCACATTGGGATATGCTTATATCAGATGCTGATCCTTCTGCAGGGCAGGAGAAGCCCGGGTTCACAGCTATTAAATCCAACTATGCCAGTGTCAGGGCATCCAAAGCCCTACCTCTCTCTACCCAAGACATCCGGCCGACTTAGGCTGATATGAGCCTACATCTGCCCCTTCCTCTCTGAATTCTCAGGAGATGTCCCAAAGAGAGAACTGGGTGATGACTGCTTGGGGGACTTCCTGCCCCTTCTAGGAATCATGTTAGCCAAGTGCCTCTCCCTTCACTCTTCATCTGGCCTAGTCCTGCCTCCCTCTGCCTCTCTCATCCCACCTACTTTGCAGGCTCACATTGAGAGTTTCACAGCATCATCAAAACCAGGAAATTCCAAAAAGACCAGGGTGGAAACAACCCTGAGGCAGGCTGCATCCAGCCACATCCGAATCCTCCTAACTGACCACCTGCCTTCTCCCACCCTCCAGAGCTTGCTACATGGCAACAGCTAAAGAAGAAACCTCTGGAGGCACACCAGAGCCCTGAAGAAAGCTGGGCGTTCAAAGCCTAGACTTGAGTCTCGGATTCCCCCCATCAACTGGGTAGCTGGCTACAGAAGGCAACCTGATAGAGTCTTGGTAGCCCCACATGTAAAAGTAAACCCCAGCAATAGGGAGGTCCGCATGAAAGCACAGCCCTAGGCTGCCGGGCAGCCAATGTTGGCAAAGCCCATCACCTTCCTATCAGGCTAGAACACTTTCACCCCTTGGTGGGCTCTGCCTATGTGTGCCAGGGTGCAGCACCATAGTTTATCAGTATGGCACACATAAATGACTCTCAGTCTCCAGTTCCCATAGCAGCCTAGAATAAAGCAATTGAATTTCAGAGAGGCTAAGACACATGAGCAAAGCCAGGAAAAGCCAGAATGAACCAACACTGCAGTCTGCCTCCAAATCGTACCTGACTGAAAATGTGGTTATCTATGTTGAACCTTCCTTGCTAAACTACAATGAGTACAAGAAGACAGCCCAGAGTCCTGCTTGCTGGCCCTGACTTAAGAAAAGATAGACAGAGTAGCCAAGCAGAGAAACTGACATCTTTCCCCTGAGCCTCATTGTCCTGAGGTGGGGGACACTATAATCATCTATAGCAGCACATCTACATCTGTGAATGCCCGGTGTGAGACATGGCCATGCATGGAGCAGGAGATGCGAGAGCCCTGCTAGGGAAGCACTTAGACCTGGGAGCCTGGCGTGGGAGATGTGACCTCAGGTAACGTAACAGGATTCACCGCCAGCAAGAGTTTTTACACAAGACTGGAATGCTAGGTGTATTCCTTCAGAGAAGAATAACAGAGGGGTGGAGAGAGAATACCTTCAGTGAAGAGCCTGCTGGAGCATTCAGTCACTGGTGGGTAATTCTGAAAGCCAATAAAGACCCCAATGCTACAGAGATGCTTTGAAACAATCTGAGGACTGGGTGTTCTCCTGTCTGCCAGCTCTAATTGCAGAGCTGCGTTCAGAGCCTCACTAAATGGCAGCCCTCCTAAGTGCACCCTGGGTCTCTAGGAGAGGGAGGGGGATGCATGATGCAAAGTGTCTGGGTGACAGGCAAGGAAGGACACAGACAGCAGGCTCGAAGGCCCCAGCTGCTGCCTGCCTCTCTCAGCCAGGAGTATTTGCTTTCACGTTAGCCACTGCTCAAAGGCAGCTGGCTCAGTTTCATTTGCACATTCACACACACAGCCCCCCATCTCTGCACTAAAACCCTGTTCGCAATGCCCCCTGCACATAATAGCATCAGAGTGTGTGTGCCTGCTCTGTATGGGCTGGCTTGGTGAATACGCACGGGCATGGCATTGTTCAGGGTGTTGTTGTAGACACAGGCTCGCAGTGAATAATCCAGCATGCAATTTTCAAACAGCTGCAGAGCCTCCGTCACTTTCTCGTGGAAGTCATCTGCAGATTTATTTGAACTTGCAAAGTAGAGATAGTCTGAGTACAACCTGCGAATAAAATAAATGGATAATCTTACCATCCGAGGATGTGAAATCGCACCATGTGGGCGACAATGAAAATCAGCTTACCGTTACATTAGCTGGTTTGATTTATTAAAATACAACAATTTTCTTCTCTTTCTTTCAAATGAGCCCCTACTCCCTCCCTTCTTGCTCCCACCCATAACATACCGCCCACCCTTCTTGCTCAGATACATCTACCCTGGCCCCAAACATTAACCAATACCGTACTGTTATTAGTTTGTGATTTTTTTCTCTTTCTTTCTTTTGTTAAATTTATTTTATTTATTCGTGGGGTGTGGGGAGGTCATGCCAAAGCCACAGCACAGGTGTGGAGAGCAGACGATAGCTCTGTGCAGTCAGGTCTCTCCTTCCACCTTTACACAGGTTCCAGCAAAGAAACTCGTGTCCAGGCTTGTTGCTAAGTCACCTTGCCTACATTTGCTTTAAAAAACAAACCAACCAAACAATAGCAACAAAACCCCACAGTTATTTTGGGGAGCGGGGTGGCATAGCGTGTCACGGCATACATGCAGAGGTCAGACCACAACATGTGGTTCTCTCCATCAACCATGGGTGTCCAGGGATTGAACTCATGCTGTCAACCTTGGCAGAAGGTACCTTTACTCACAGCGAAGAGAAGCCATGAAAAGTTCTATACTGTCCTATTCCCTTCTCTTAAGGGGAAACCAAGGCACCTGCCATCCATGCAGGATTACAGCTTCATGTGAAATTCCTGACTTTTTCTGTCTCAAAGCAGAAGAAAAGCCTCCACACCTAGGCACGGAAACCTCTACAGACCGGTATACTCAAGAGTCCAAGCAGACACCACATACATGTGCATTTGCATGTAATCACATTTTTCACAGGAGTTGTCAGTCTCCCTTGACAGTTACTGGTCCGTTTTTATGTTTGCAGTGTGCTATGTTAGCAAGAATCTTGCTGTTAAAGGAAAATTTATGACTGATGCAGACCTGTGATCCCAGCACTCAGGAATGCTGAGGAGGAAAATCTTGAGTTCAAAGACAACCTGAACCACATAGTGAGTTCAAGGTCATATTTGACTACATACCTAGACCCCTGGGACAAGGAGGAGAGAAGAGAAGACAGAAAGGGAGAGAAGGGGTCAACAGGGGAGGTGGGGGAGGAAAAATTCATGGGAGGCAATTAGCTCCTTCAACTAAATAAATCTGTTGAAGTTATGGTTGTAGACATTGCTAAGCTGGTTTGGCTATAACCCACTCCTACTCCCAAAACTTGAGCACCGCCTGACCTGATTGATCCTCTGACAGCGAGCCTCCTAGCCCAGCAGATGTCTAGTTAGCCTGCTGAGGGAAGAATCCTGGTGCAACAGGCTCCCCCTTACCCTCGACGTTCCGTTAGTGACTTTCCACCCCAGCCCTGCTTCTCGCTTATACACTCCCACTTCTCGCTGTATTCCAAGCTGAGCTCAACCGCTCTCCTCTGCAGCTGAGCCCCATCACAGCAGTCCTACACCTCTGGAAACAGCCGGAAATGAAGTCTGTCTGAATGTTTCAGCAGATGTTGGGATAATTTCTTCACTTTTCGAACTCCTGGGACGTGCTTCCTACTCCCTTCCTGCTTGCAGAGGGAATAAGAATCACCCCCTTTCAGCTTTGTTTTTCCAGATGTTTCTCTCCCCACTCCTCCTGCAAACACCTGCCCATCGGAGCTCTGTAGGACTCCCTCCATGAAGCCCTAGCTGTCATCTCCTACCAAGGGTGATGCCGGGCTGCCATCAGGTGACTACAGCTCTATGGCATGCCGCCCTCTCTCCCCAGTTCTGTGCTCCCTAGTCCCCTGCATCGCCAGCCTGACACCTCTCTTTCCTCATCCTTGTGTATCTATGAGAGGGATATCTTGACAGTGCATCACCCTGTGTTTCCATGTCCACTGAGCTAAATGCGCGCTACAGAGGTCATGACCCCTGCCAGGCCTGCTGCAGAGCACTTTTGCTATTCTCACCCTAGATGACGTCATAACAACCCAGGCAACATTTAATAGGGATCTTATTTACCTCACCCTTACCTGGCACAAGGTCCCTGAGTATTCTTTTAAGATGTCTTAGGATGTTTGGGGTTACTCAGAGGTTGCCTAAAATCAGGACACAGGTTGAAATAGAATGCTTTGCTTATTTCAGCTTGGCCAGCCAAATATTTCAAAAGACCTTGCCTTGGGCTACCAAGATGGCTCAGTAGATAAAAGTGACCACCACTTAGCTTGTCAATCTGAGATCAATCTCTGGGACCTTGTGTACACAGATAAGCACTGGAGAAGCCAGGAAAGTTAAACAGGCAGGCTTGTCTCTTCAGATAAAGGAGATGTTTACCTGTCTTCCACCCAGAATGCTTGAAAAGGCTGCAGTTTACAACATGGTGGTCCTTCACTATCTGTAGGACCAGGCTGTACCGGAATCTCCCAGCATATTATATTTGTTTACCCCAGACCTTTCCCTCAAATCTTGAACATTGTTTCTCAGTTCATAAAACCCATTCTTATGAGCGACGGCACTTGTATTTTACAACAGTCTAAGTAACTTCTCTGTTATCTCAGGGCCAGGCCAACCCTGACTCCCACAGGTAATATGTTTACCTCAGTCATTCTTCAACTCTTATCCTGAGCATTGTTTCTAAGTCAACAGCACCCACCTTTAAGGAAGAAGCCATACATACTTTGTAAAAGAAGTTTCAATATAAATACACCTTAAGCTTTGTTGTACTCAGGGGACTGAGTTAAGTGTCATCAAGAAACTTTTTTCCAAAATTATGCTGTGCTTAAATATGGCTAACTACACTGTCTGGTGTCAGACTCCGTAAGTCTGAATCAGTGATGGCTAACCAGAGCCAGACTGAATCGACTTTCATCCTTGCCTCTCCTCTGATCGTTCCACTGCTGGACTTAGAGCTTACAGGGACCCCCACAGGACCCACATGGTAGAAAGAGAGAAACAACTCAAGAAAGTTATCCTATGACCTTCACATGCATACTTTGGCATGTGAGTGTGCACACATACATACACAACCACAACGCCAATTTAAAAAAAAAAAAACATTACTTTCAAAACAACTTGCCTCCCGACACTCCATGTTTTCATGAGCCATGAGCAGAATTCATATGTCCACCAGAGTTAAACTGCCCCAAGTTAAAGCAATGCTGGTGGCCCCAGTATTGCTTGATCTATTAAACTTGAATGAGAACATGCCCTGCAAGGCACTCAGTCATAGCTAATAATCACATTTGCATGAACCTCAGCACACAGGTCAGTCACACAAACTGAGACTGAGGGGCCCACTTGGAAATCTGTATGATGGGGTACCTTTCCTGCTTCACACGTATCCTACCATCTCTGCCAATCAATAGCATGGTTCAACCCAAGAAACTGTGCCAGAGGAATTTCAGCTGCAGCTGTTCTGACTCTCAGCCAGCCCTGCATGTAACCCGCCCAAGCCTGACCCTTCCTCGGGATGCCCACAGAGCTGCCACAGAAACTCCCTCAAAAAACCCAGTCATTGACCCAAAGTTCCTGTCTGACATTCTCCCCCGGCCCATGATAATAACAGTTCTTAGAGGCATTTGATTCATTAAATAAAGCAAAAGTTATTAAAGCCTGTCTCAATTAAAAAAAAAAAAAGCCTGATGATTCCATAAAGTTCTTCAGAGATGGGGTAGTAATCCCTGGAGGAACTCTGGAATGTGTTCAATGCATCTTACCTACCTCATAACCCACCTGGGTAAGGGTATGGGGTACCCATAGCCTTGCATGTTTGGGGTACCCAGAGGTAAACTCATGTATACTAACTACCTTTTAACCTTTTGAAGTAGTAGGGGCAACTTTCATGACAAGGTGAAGGGACACTTCTGGGGCAGAGACTGGACTCTGGTAGCCAATTACAGAACACCAAAGATCACTGAAAGCCACCAGAAGCTGCAAGCCTGGGGCAGAGAGATCCAGATCCAGCAGAGGGTACAAACCTGTGCCATCCTGATTTCTGACTTCCGGTCTCCAGACCAGTATAGAAAATAACGTCTGTTGCTTTAAGCCACTGAGTGTGAGATGATTTATTAGAGCAGCACTAGAAGAAACGAGCACTCCCTAACCCAAGGATGACGAAAGGGTCATCTGATTCAGTGCCACTCTCCTCCAGAGACCCTGGACATCAGTCCCAAATGTACAGAAAGAACTGGCCATGAGGTCACATTTCCATAAGGAAAACAAGGAAGTGAAGAAGTGGGATCACAGCAAGGCAGGGTCTGAGTCCCCCAAGGAACAAGGACAAAGCATTAACAAGGCCGAGGACCATGGATGACTGACAAGCTGCTTGGATGATTAGAGACCCTCAGAAAACGACAGCAAACAAATCAAGAATATGTATTCAGCAGGCACAGGAGTGTAGCAACATAAAATGGAAAGACACAGGTCCAAACACTCAGAGTTCTGGCTTTAACATCAATAGCACTGTGGTGACATAGAAGACAGAGCGGTATGAATCATCATAGGACTGTAAGGACACCGATGCCACCTGAGGGTGCGCTCACAAAAACAGCAGCAAAAATCTGGGGAGAATACAAGAAAGTGACAGGCAATCAGACACCTAGAGGGATACCCAAAGCTCTTGGTGCAGGGTGCCAGATGGTGATGGGCAAGGTCTGGCATCCGCAGGGAAATAGACTCAGTAGAATGGGTTGCTCTTCTGAACCCCTGAAGGACAGACCAGGGGACAGAAAGCTCGACTTCACAAAAGGGGAATTTTCTCCAGGAGGGCAGTGGCTTCAGCAACCTAGACTGAAAGGGATGAAGGCTTCACAGTAGCAAGCACGGGGTCTAAAAGCCCCCAGCCCTCTCTATCAGGGCTGCCCAGCCCCCTCCTGCAATCCACTTCATCTTCTCTCAGTCTCAAACCACTCTGAACAGATGGGTGTTACATTTGGCCAAGACTGTTTCCAATGGCAATTCCAAATATAAGCCC